GGGGCGTTTGTTACCTTAATACAGAGAATGTATTAAGGTAAAAAAAAATCCTTTAATCACAGAAGCCAACAGAGCCTCCTAAGAGTCTCTTTAGACTGTACATATGACCCTTAGCTTCCGCTGCCATCGTTCTTCATACCGGCGTATGTTTCCAAACACAATTAAAATCTGCTTTTGGCAAAGTGTATTTATTGTTCCCATCCAACAAAAACACAAAACAATATTTTGCAGTTGCAAACTGGTATAATAAATCATTTTGTATTAAAAGCCATACAAAACAAAATGTATAATCTTATGGATGGACCACCACAGCTTTTTAAACATCGGCCTTGTTTTAACTTGTGTATATTTTAAATAATTTTCTGCGTTACCACATTAGTCATCTATTTACTTTTGGTAATTAAATCAATTTCATTTTACTATTCTTTGTCTTTTAGGCAGGAACTGAGTGGGATGCCAAAGAAAGAATATTCCGTAATTTTGGCGGCATCATGGGGCCTATGGATGAGCCAACTGCAATGCAGAAGTGGGGTAAAGGACCCAATATTACAGTCACTGTGGTGTGGATTGATCCTGTAAACATCATTGCTGCTACATATGACATATTAATCGAATCCACAGCAGAATATACTCATTATAAACCACCCCTGAACTTGCCTCTTAGGCCAGGCATCTGGACTATTCGTGTTCTTCATCACTGGGTCCCTGTGGCTGAAACAAGATTTTTGATATCTCCCTTGACTTTTTCCAATCGACAGCCAATAAAGAGTGGTAAGTGTTGCATCTATTTCAGCTCATATTTTAAAACAAAATAACAGTGTCAGAAGATCTTCTTTGTGAGTGTCCACAGTATAAAGAATGTCAACATCGACAGTCTGGCTCCCCCTGCTGAATTACTCTGCCCCTCAGTAAAGAAAGTCTGACTTTGGGCCCATTCACACTAACATGGTGCATTAGTGCATACATGTTAATGCATATTATGTCATGCATTAACATGCATTGTGTTAAGGCAGCTCAATCGTTTGAATGGGCTGCCTTGTCCACTAAAACAAACCAATCTACAATTTCTGGCAGTGCACCACAAAAACACGTTAGTGTGTCGCCTTGCTGCAACACATGTCCATTGGCAAGGTTCACTGGGGTACGGTCCCACATGGCAATTCGTAGCTTGGAATATTGTCTGTACAGTTTAATTTTAATCATATGTGCAATTTTAAATAAAAACATAATTGTTCTTAGTTTCTTAGCCTAAAGTTTGTATTGTTGGCAGCAAGCTCAAAATACCAGCCTAGACTGCTCTTTTCCTGGCCACAGACTAAAGCTCTTCCTGCGGATCTACAGAACCAGCTGTGAGATGCAGCCTATTTTGGGTTTCTTCACATTCTCCTCTTAGTTGAGCTTACACCACGAGCCTCCAGAATGCTTTAGATTTGAATAAGTTACAAACTTCTTACACAGTTATGATTATAAGCAAAACAGTCTTGCAGAGTAACCGCATTTAGTCTGTGTAATTAACTCAGGACTCAAGCAAGTTGCTGTTTATGAGTTATCTAACATTAAGATACATGTGGAAGAATTGAAAGTAGGACCAATGTGTGGTCATGTATCCTTCTCGATAGGTCAGCACTGGGCAGGCCTGGTTAAGGAAATAGAACCATGCCCCCTTGACGCATGGGGCTTTTTGTAAGTGTTGTAAATACTGTAGGCAACATTGTTAACTGATTGTATCAAGAGATATATCTCCTCTTATTAAAAACAACTATTTTCCTTTTCATTAGACAATAAGGGTTATTTACAAAGCTGCCGGAGGCAGCCGAGTGAATTACCGACCCGAAGTGCAGTGAGCCGAACGCTGTTCGGATATTCACTTCAGGCTTGTACGGCTGGCTGAATCAGCCATACATCGGCTTGCCTCAGCTGGCTTCGGCTCGGCCGAACATGCACATGGCTGAGCCGAACCTACGGCAGATTACTCGCTGCCGTTCGGCCTATTCTCATAGTTTTGTTAGGTAAGCACATATGACTTACAGCCACAGGTTGTATATATTTTTATTACTTTCTATGTGTTTTAAGGTACAACCATTATTTTACTTTTAAAAAAACCTTAAAGGAGAACTATGGGGTCAGTGTTTTTCCCCATAGTTCTCCTTAAGGTAACGGGAGGACAAATATGAGGTGAGTGAAAAGCACTCACCTCATAGTTCTCCTTTAAAGGACAATAGTACTTTTTGTACAGTTAACTTTTAAATGACCACCCAAGTCTTATAATTACCTGTTCCCACACCTACAAGTTGTTTGCTGTGCAGCCTGCTTGATGCCACACATCCTCTTTACTGAAAGTCTCCTGGCTGGGCTCCATGGAGTAATCTCCTTTTATTACTATAGAAAGGTCTCTAATATGTACTGTAATGATAGATGGCCTTTTCATTGGAATGAATATATGGCAGCGCCCAGATGAGAGACTTTTAGGCCTGGTTCACACCTGAACGCTCTGCAAAACGCTCAAACACCGAAATCCCATTATTTCCTATGGGTATGGTTCACACCTGGGCGTATTACAGACCGTATGAACGCGCTACAAAACACCCTACGCCCAAAGAAGTACAGGAGCTTCTTTGGGACGTTTTTGTCGCGCGTTTCCATTGGGATACAGCCAAGTAGCCCTCGGAAACGCGCGTTTGTCGCACGTTTTTTTAACCGCAAATCGCTGTAAAAACGCGCGTCATGGAACGCGCGACAAACGCACATATTTGATACGCCTAGGTGTGAACCCAGCCTAAGTGAAGAGGCTTTGCAGCTTCTAGCATGCCACACAGCAAAGATCCCAGAGGAGTGATGTATTTATAAATTGACCTCACACTCATACCTAGTAAGTCAACAATGAAAAAATAGAAACAGAGATGACTAAAAAATAACACATACCTACAAGCAGCATATACCCAGCAGCTGGCATGGTAATTATTAATTGTTACACTTTAATGCTCAAGCTGCCATTGAGGTGTTTAATGCTAGGGGTTAATTTGTCAGATGGCTGTTTTTATGTGGGTGAGTCTGTCTAACTGAATTCTTTGTTGGATTGGAGTTTTGTTTACTCTTTAAGTGTAGTCACTGTATATTGGCCTTGATCTTGGGGTCAAGGTATCAGCATTGTTTTGTTTGTAAATAAATCTTGTCTGCATGCATGTGGAGTGGGACAGAGAGGGGTGGGGAATAGAAGGATTTCTGTAATCCAGCAGGCAGGGCTGGCAATGGGATTTCATTGCAGCAAAGGCATTGTATTGTCAGATCAAACAAGAAGTTAGCAGCAATGAGATAAAATATAGTGAAATGTGCATGAGTTGCAGAGATCTTTTGAATGTTTGCTTCTTTTTTATGTTGCCCTGACATACACTTTAACATACCGTACAATTTAACAAAGATTTTACAATGAGTGCTGGCTTTTTGTTTGCTTAACATTCTCATAGGCCTTCCTAGGCTCCCCCTCAAAGGCTTTTTTGTTTGGAGTGGATGTCTATATCCATAACTTTCCAACATGCAAAACCACCTGACTTTTGTAAGCAGGCTCCTTTATAACTTTCTGCTTTCCTGCAAGTTCCTGGTTGACCAGGAGAAAACTGCTGCATTGAGCAGTCTCCTCTAGAAAATAATTAATTGTGTTGAAATCCGAGAACTTAAAACAAAATATATTGTTGCACATGTTCCTGTAATGTTCCTGTAACGCTATCAGCTGCAATGCTACCAAGTAAATTGCTCTTAATTATTGAATGTCAATGGACTGTGGTAGACCTCAACCAGTGTTAAGGTGCCCATACACTGTACGATTCTCGTACGAGAATCGCGGGAAATCCCGCGATCGTATGAGAATCGTACAGTGTGTGGAATGCGTGCGACCGTTTCTACTGTACGGTCGCACGTCTTCCATCGAACAAGCAGGCTGGAAAACCCGCCGGGAATCGTACGATTCTCGGCGAGTTAGTGGCCTGCTGGTTCGACAACTGACGAACGGGCCGGTGTGCGCACGCGCACACTGCCCGTTTGCCGTCCTTGCAAGCCTGCCCCTCATTGCAGTCATCGCAAGTACGATCTGCCTGTCCAAGATGGGCAGATCGTACGTTTTTTTAAGTACTTTACAACCAGCGACAGACTAAGGTCTTGCGCTGGTTGTAAAGTGTATGTCCACCTTTATTTCCAACCTCTTACATAAAGTGTCACTATACTTTTATCATGAATTTTGTTACTTAGCAAACAATTATTATCATATGAAAATGCCAACAAGCACTCAAACGTGCATTATATATAAAGTGCAAAAAAATTTGAAACATGAAAAACACACTATCATTTAATGTGTTAAAACTGCTTAAAGTCCATTCTTTAGTGTAAACGTTCTCCTTCTCCCAACAAGTTATTCATCAAAGTGTTTGTAAATACAAAAAATATTATTTATCCTCCACTAAGTCTTTTGGCATGCAAACATTCTCTTTAATCCACCGTGATCCAAACAAAACCTTTAGGAAACACACTCACCAGACTCATAGGGCTCTCCTACATAGGCTGAGCCATAAATGCTTTATTATTGATGTTTCTCCTCAGCCAGATCTCCAAATGGTCAGATAATGATCACTCCTTTCAACTCTCTCTTTTCCTGCAATCTCAATACCCCGCAATTCCAACTCAATAGAAATTGACATCCCTCTCATGGTGTAGTATTTCTCTATTCAAATTTATTAAATAATAAAAAAAACTTACATTAAAACAAATGCAGTATCCTCTACAAAATAAATCCTCTGTTTGTATGGGTCACCGCGATCCAATCTCAGGATGTGTATGCTCCGCCAACCCGACATGTTTCGTCATCACAGACTTTTTCCAGTGGATAGCGTGGAGTGATTTTGTTTTTAGTTTGTATTTAATAAACTTTATACAGTTTAATGTGGATGAGTCCTTGAGACAGACTTCAAAATGTCTGGAGGGAGTGATAGAAGGATGAATATAAAAGGGAGGAGAGAAATATGCTATAGCTGGCTACTTAGATTGTTCCATTTCAGAATGCCATCCCCATCTTTTTGTACCATCTCTGGTGTTAAATCATTGGGTATATAATAAATGCATCATAAGAACCCCACAAAAATAATTTAATTTCAAGATTCAGATCGGATTAATGCAGATTTACAGAGATAATGGTTTTATATATAACAATATGTGCCTAATAATTCTAATTCAAAGTATTACCGGCCCTGCATAGGTTAAAGTGACGGTTAAATCTTAAAAATGCATGCAAGTACCGAGTGATAGACTACAATCTTATGTTTGGTTTACTAATTTGTATTGAGATTGTAGTCCATCATGGGTGTGAGCATGGAGTGGTGGCTACTTTACAACACTCACAGGGACCAAGGGGAATATGAAGGTTGAAACCCTCCACAAGGAAGGACAATGCTAGCACAAATTCAGAGATGATTTGAGGATCTACAGCTGAGTAATACACCAACAAGGTACAGTGTTGTTAATAATAGTTACCATACTTTAATGCATTTTTAAGAATTAACTCTTGAGTTTAGTGTCACTTTAAGCTCAGCATTGCCCATACAGTATGTACAGTAGAGTATTCTCACCCTTTGTCACATTTACAGTTCAGATGCAGATAGGCTGAATATAAACAAAAGCAGTGTTTACATTGGCTTGGGCCTGAAGTGTCAATTTTTCAAATACAAATAAAACACAGAAGTAAGAGGTTATATTTGCAAAGTAACTTGGTGTCCCAGAATATATTT